GAGATTCCATCTGAACATGAGGAAGAACTTCCTGACTGTGAGAGCCGTTCAGCAGTGGAACTCTCTGCCCCGGAGGGAGTGTGGTGGAGGCTCCTTCTTTGGAAGCTTTTAAACAGAGGCTGGATGGCCATCTGTCAGGGGTGATTTGAATGCAATATTCCTGCTTCTTGGCAGAATGTGGCCTCTGGTGTTCCTGCAAGAAGGTCCTCCCTTGTGCATGTGGCAGGGCTCAGGGTGCATTGCAGCAGGTGGTCAGTGGTTGGCTCTTCTCCACACTCACATGTCGTGGACTCCACTTTGTGGCCCCATTTCTTGAGGTTGGCTCTGCACTCTCGTGGTGCCAGAGCGCAGTCTGTTCAGCGCCTTCCACGTCGCTCAGTCCTCTGTGTGCCCAGGGGGGAGTCTCTCATTGGGTATCAGCCATTGGATGAGGTTCTGTGTTTGAGCCTGCCACTTTTGGACTCTCACTTGCTGGGGTGTTCCAGCGAGTGTCTCTGTAGATCTTAGAAAACTATTTCTTGATTTAAGTCGTTGACGTGCTGGCTGATACCCAAACAAGGGATGGGCTGGAGATGTCACTGCCTTGGTCCTTTCACTATTGGCTGCTACTTCCCGGCGGATGTCAGGTGGTGTGATACCGGCTAGACAGTGTAATTTCTCCAGTGGTGTAGGGCGCAGACACCCCGTGATAATGCGGCATGTCTCATTAAGAGCCACATCCACTGTTTTAGCGTGGTGAGATGTGTTCCACACTGGGCATGCATACTCAGCAGCAGAGTAGCATAGCGCAAGGGCAGATGTCTTCACTGTGTCTGGTTGTGATCCCCAGGTTGTGCCAGTCAGCTTTCGTATGATATTGTTTCTAGCGCCCACTTTTTGCTTGATGTTCAGGCAGTGCTTCTTGTAGGTCAGAGCACGGTCCAGAGTGACTCCCAGGGATTTGGGTGCGCTGCCATTCTCCAGTGGGATCCCTTCCTTCCCAGGTAATAATCCTCAGAGCTCGGGATGCTTCTCTGTTCTTGAGATGAAAGGCACATGTCTGTGTTTTAGATGGATTAGGGATCAGCTGGTTTTCCCTGTAATAGGCAGTAAGAGCACCTAGAGCTTTTCAACCATCTCAAAGCTCCCTGCTTGAGCGGTGATGGCACGATCATCAGCATAGATGAAACTCTCTGTCCCTTCTGGCAGTGGCTGGTCATTTGTAAATGTTGAACATTGATGGTTTTCCCTGTAAGAGGCAGTAAGAGCACCTAGAGCTTTGGAGAGCTTCTGTTCAACCATCTCAAAGCTCCCTGCTTGAGCGGTGATGGCACGATCATCAGCATAGATGAAACTCTCTGTCCCTTCTGGCAGTGGCTGATAATGTCTGTACATATTAAACATGGATGGAGCAAGCTTCAGAGAGGCAGTGAGAGCACCTAGAGCTTCGGAGAGCTTCTGTTCAACCATCTCAAAGCTCCCTGCTTGAGAGGTGATGGCACGATCATCAGCATAGATGAAACTCTCTGTCCCTTCTGGCAGTGGCTGGTCATTTGTGTAAATGTTGAACATTGATGGAGCAAGCTTTGGAGAGGCAGTAAGAGCACCTAGAGCTTTGGAGAGCTTCTGTTCTACCATCTCAAAGCTCCCTGCTTGAGCGGTGATGGCACGATCATCAGCATAGATGAAACTCTCTGTCCCTTCTGGCAGTGGCTGATAATGTCTGTACATATTGAACATGGATGGAGCAAGCTTCAGAGAGGCAGTAAGAGCGCCTAGAGCTTCGGAGAGCTTCTGTTCAACCATCTCAAAGCTCCCTGCTTGAGCGGTGATGGCACGATCATCAGCATAGATGAAACTCTCTGTCCCTTCTGGCAGTGGCTGGTCATTTGTGTAGATGTTGAACATGGATGGAGCAAGCTTCAGAATAGGCAGTAAGAGCACCTAGAGCTTCGGAGAGCTTCTGTTCTATCATCTCAAAGATCCCTGCTTGAGCGGTAATGGCACGAACATCAGCATAGATGAAACTCAGTCCCTTCTGGCAGTGGATGGACTGGATGATGGCCCATCAGGTCTCTTCCAACTCTAGGATTCTATGATTCCATTTTTGCCCCTCGTGAGGTGATTTAGAAGCCACTTTTTTCATTTTTGTGTGTGGAAAACCTCCCCTGAGAGGTCTTATTCCTTGCTAAATGAAGGAAGGCGTGGTATTATCCAGAGTGTGAGGCTGGGATACCTGGCCCTTTCCTGAGGCGAGGCGTTCCACAGGTGTGTTTGCCCTGTGAGGAAGCGCCCCTCCCAAAATGGCGCCCCTTTCCTTCCACTTCCCCAAAAGGGCTAGGCCCGGGAGGCTGGGGACTCTCCTGGGAGGCTTCCCCGGGCTGCTGCTCCTCCCCTCGCGCCGAGGAAGGGGCGGAGAAGGGGGCGGGCGAGAGAGAGAGGAGGCAGGCCGGCTCCCTTCCCTTCCCAACATGGCGGCGGGGCGCGCTGAGGAGGCGCCGAGCAGGGCCGCTTCCTAGGCCCCCTCCTCTCCATTAGTACGCCTCTCTCGCGCCTTCCTTTCCTCTCAGACTCTCCCCTCTCCCTCCTCCTCTAGTCAGTCCTCCTTCCTGCATTTCCTTCCCTTCTTTTCCCTCACTCTCTTCTCTCCAATCTTTCACCTCCTTCCTCATCTATTTTGGGGGTTTTTTTGCCAGTGGGTCAGGTGTGCCTTTCTTTCCTTCACCCACCCCCTCACTCTTCCTTGATTCTGACTCCATTCTCCTCATTTTGGGGAGAGTTTTTGTGAGGGGCAATCTGCATTGCATCCCCTCACTTTTCCCTTCTTACTCCCTATTTTATTGTGGGTTTTTGTGAGGGGAAATCTGCATTGCTTTCCCTTACTTTTCCCTTCTTGTTCCCTTTTTGTGGTGGGTTTTTGTGAGGGGAAATCAGCATCGCATTCCCTCACTTTTCTGAGATTTTTTGAACCCTTTCTTCCCCTCTTCCACCCCTCACTCTTCTTTCTTGATTCTTGCTCCACTCTCCTGCTTTACATCTTCATTTTGGGGTGGGATTCCTTCTCCATTCTCCTCATTTTGGGGTGGGTTATTGTGAGGGGGAGACCTGGTTTCATTCCCTCACTTTTCTCTTTTTATTCCCTTTTTGTTGTGGGTTTTTGTGAGGGGAAATCTGCATTGCATTCCCTCACTTTTCCCTTCTTACTCCATTTTTGTGGAGGGTTGTTGTGAGGGGAAATCTGCATTGCATTCCCTCACTTTTCCCTTCTTGCTCCCTTTTTTATTGTGGGCGTTTGTGAGGGGAAATCTGCATTGCTTTCCCTCACTTTTCCCTTCTTACTCCTTTTTTGTGGAGGGTTGTTGTGAGGGGAAATCTGCATTGCATTCCCTCACTTTTCCCTTCTTACTCCATTTTTGTGGAGGGTTGTTGTGAGGGGAAATCTGCATTGCATTCCCTCACTTTTCCCTTCTTGCTCCCTTTTTTATTGTGGGCGTTTGTGAGGGGAAATCTGCATTGCTTTCCCTCACTTTTCTGGGGGTGTTTGTGCCTTTCTCCCCCTCTTCCACCCCTCACTCTTCTTTCTTGATTCTTACTCCATTCTCCTCATTTTGGGGAGGGTTATTCTGAGGGGAAAATCTGCATTGCTTTCCCTCACTTTCCCCTTCTTGCTCCCTTTTTGTGGTGGATTTTTGTGAGGGGAAATCTGCATTGCATTCCCTCAATTTTCCCTTCTTGCTACCTTTTTTTATTGTGGGCTTTTGTGAGGGGAAATCTGCATTGCATTCCCTCTTTTTTCTGGATGTGTGTGTGCCTTTCTTCTCCTCTTCCACCCCTCACTCTTCTTTCTTGAGTCTTACTCTACTCTCCTGCTTTACATCTTCATTTTGGGGTGGGATTGTGTGAGGGTGGCATCTTCATTGCTTTCCCTCACTTTTCTTACTCCTCTCTACTCACTTTTCTCTTCTTACTCCACTCTCCTCATTTTTAATCTTTTCTTGGGGTGTGTTTTTGTGAGGGTGACATCTGCATTGCTTTCCTTCACTTTTCCCTTCTTACTCGCTTTTTTATCTAAATTTTATTGTGGGCATTTGTGCTTTTCTGCACTGCAGTCCCTCACTTTTCTGGAGGTGTTTGTGCCTTTCTTCCCCTCTTCTACCCCTCACTCTTTTTTCTTAATTCTTACTCCATTCTCCTTCTCGAAATTTTAATTTTGGGGTGGGTTTTTCTGAGGGTGCCATCTGCATAGCTTTCCCTCACTTTTCTTACTTCCACTCTCCTCATTTATATCTTCATTTTATTGCGGGTTTTTGTGAGGGGAAATCTGCATTGCCTTCCCTCACTTTTCTCATCTTACTCCACTCATCATTTATGTCTTCATTTTGGGCTGAGTTTTTGTGAGGGTAGCATCTGCATTGCATTCCCTCACTTTTCTCACTCTCTTCTTTATTTATTTTTGTATTAATCTCCGCATTTTCCCCCACACACCCCCTTCTTTCCCCCCAACCCGTTTCCTAATTCTTCATCTTCTTAATTATCTCTCCTTTTTCCCTCCTCAAAACTTTTTGAAATATTAAATTTTTGGGCTTTATGTGAAGGGGAGGACCTGTGCATTTCTTTCCTTTTCCTTTCCTTTCTTCCTCTCCATTATTTATTTGGCCATTTCTTCCCGTCAGTTCTTCGCCTTCTTTATTATCCCCCATAATATTATTTAAATATTATTTTTCAGTGTATGTATGTGAGGAAGGACCTTTTTCTTTTCTTCCTTCACCTACTTGAATTCTTGTCTTTCCCCCCAAAATCACCCTCTTCTTTAGTAGCCTTATTCTTTTCCTCCTTACTAAGTTTGACATTCATTTTGGGGATTTTTCTATTTCTTTCCCTCACCTCCCTTTCTTCTCCCTATTAGTGTTATTATTCTGTTTCTTATTGTGATATGGCCTAAGGGCTAATCAATAAAATTACTACTACTATTATTATATTGTCCTTTGTTGGGCATTCACCTGTGAGGGAACCTGCACATTTTTTCCCCTCACGTATTGCTCTTCTTTTTCACTCTGTTTTTTACATTCTTTCAAAGTTTTTCTTCACTAGCCCCTCACAACTATTGATACTAAATTTGAGATGAGCGGTGTATTTTCGCCCTTCTTTCATCATATTTTCTTCCGCTCAACCCAAGCAAAACATCTCCATCTTTCCTGCTATTATTCTTGTTGCTATTTCTACTTTTTTGGGGGTCCTCTCTTCTCTCCAGAGATTTATTTACTTCCTACCAAATAAGTGTTAATTATTTTCAGTCGCCTTATCTTCAGACACTCGCAGGCCTTTTTGAAAGTGTCCTCTGCTTCTTTCTATCAATTATTTTTCTCTCTCTTTTTTGCATAATTTACCCCCCTTTCTAACCATGATCGTGACAAAAAGTTACTTTCTCCAAGGGCCGCCTGTCCGTCCCCGCGACTGTAGTTGAATGTACCTTGTTGACATTGAACGACAAATGGCCCAATTCCGTGCAGATTCGAGATGCGTGTGTTTCCGTCCAAGAGCTGATTGTCCACCTCTGTCCTTAGCAAAAGAATGTGGACTTTCGGGACGGTCTCGCCTTCGGTAGTTCTCCGTGCCTTACTCCGGTTTCGTCCCAGCGACCCAAAATCAGTGAACTCCCCAAGAAAGCTTCACCAACCTTGAATTGGGATGAAGATGGCATTTTCACCCCGCTTGGCTCGCTTCTGGCGGCTGTTTCAAAACATTCCTCCTGGAGAAAAACCTAGGACTAACCGATCCGTTCCTTCCAGCCAGAAGCGATGAGCTTCCATCATCCGGTGACATCCGTATTTTCAGGAATCGTTCAGAGGCGTGTTGATCCAAGCCACGTGCGGATGACCTGTAACCAGGCTGCCATTTTCAAAACGATACCTGTCCGTCAACATCTCAATTTGTGTTTTACGGAGAAATGACAGTGGGAACACTTGCGATGGGACAAATAAGAGTCCCAATGAAACTCATTATCTGTGAATCCCAATGAAATGCGTTTACTTCCGACCAAATTGTGTCACGGAACCTTAGAACTCTTTAGGCCTTCTCTATGTGCTTTTTAAAGGGAGCGTATGATTGTCATATCCGACTTCAGTGATACTTGAAAGCCAACCGCGTGCCTTTTGGGCCTACAACGAGTGAATGCTATGCCAAGGAAAAGGAGAATCCCTTTGGTGCTGATTTGGGTGAGTTTGCTTCCTTTCACCCAGAGAACCCCTTGGCATGGTTTGCTCATTGATCCAAGATGAACTAGTTCCTGGAGATGCTCCGGGAGAAGATTTAAATGCCTTTGGTGGCCTTTGCCATTAGCAAGTGGACCTTCTAATTGAAAATGTGCTGAAAAAGCGACGTGTGCCTTGAGTGCCTGGAACCGTCTACCCAACCAACAGGTCTGCCTTCTTGTTTTGGGAAGACCTGCCTTTGGTCCTTTATGGGTCAGCAGCCTGGAAAGGTTCTTGGGGACCAACGAAGGCCGAGTCTGCCGGCCCTGCCCTTCATCAAAGGAGCAGGGAAGAAGGAGGCGTCCAAGCATGGAGGCCATCCCTGCAACGTCTTCCTGGAACATGGTAAGAGACACCATCTCAGCTTTGGGAAACTTGAATAAGTTTAAGATGCATTCGCAAGAAATTATTCATAAGCATATGGCATTTAACATATTTGCATAAGGAGGTTTCGATGTAAATGAGTAAGTATGTGGTTTGAATGCAGGTTGCGCGAAATGCATGGGACCAGAAGTGTTTTGGAGTTCGAATCTTGGAATATTTGCCCATATATAATAAGATTTTTTGGAGAATATGGGAATTGTTTTGGTGACAGCATGGGACATGGCTGCCAGCAGAGCGAAGCAATCAGTAAACCATGGAATGACGTTCCATGGCTTGTTTAGGTGTATCAGGTGCTTGTTTAGGTGTTTAGGTGCTTGTTTAGGAGCAGACTTGTTTTCTGCTTCCCTGGAGACTAGGACACAAGGGAACAATGGCTTCAAACTACAAGAAAGGAGATTCCATTTATTTATTATTTATTTATCGTGTCATCCGCAACCAGAACATTGTATTACATTTCTAACAGAACAAAACAAACAAACAGATAAAAAAACCCACAAATTTTGCAAACTTGGTAGCTGATTAAATGTCCTTTGACCAGTATCTGGCCACTTGGAGTGCCTCTGGTGTTGCCGCAAGAAGGTCCTCCATTGTGCATGTGGCAGGGCTCAGGTTGCATTGCAGTAGGTGGTCAGGGGTTTGCTCTTCTCCACACTCGCATGTCATGGACTCCACTTTGTGGCCCTATTTCTTGAGGTTGGCTCTGCATCTTGTGGTGCCAGAGCGCAGTCTGTTCAGCGCCTTCCAAGTCGCCCAGTCTTCTGTGTGCCCAGGGGGAGTCTCTCATTGGGTATCAGCCATTGGTTGAGTTTCTGGGTTTGAGCCTGCCACTTTTGGACTCTCGCTTGCTGAGGTGTTCCAGCGAGTGTCTCTGTAGATCTTAGAAAACTATTTCTAGATTTAAGTCGTTGACGTGCTGGCTGATACCCAAATGGGATGAGCTGGAGATGTCTCTGCCTTGGTCCTTTCACTATTGGCTGCTACTTCCCGGCGGATGTCAGGTGGTGCAATACCGGCTAGACAGTGTAATTTCTCCAGTGGTGTAGGGCGCAGACACCCCGTGATAATGCGGCATGTCTCATTAAGAGCCACATCCACTGTTTTAGTGTGGTGAGATGTGTTCCACACTGGGCATGCATACTCAGCAGCAGAGTAGCACAGCGCAAGGGCAGATGTCTTCACTGTGTCTGGTTGTGATCCCCAGGTTGTGCCAGTCAGCTTTCATATGATATTGTTTCTAGCACCCACTTTTTGCTTGATGTTCAGGCAGTGCTTCTTGTAGGTCAGAGCACGGTCCAGAGTGACTCCCAGGTATTTGGGTGTGCTGCAATGCTCCAGTGGGATTCCTTCCCAAGTGAGAATGTAAATAAGTAAGTATGTGGTTTGAATGCAGGTTGCGCAAAATGCATGGGACCAGAAGTGTTTTGGAGTTCAAATCTTGGAATATTTGCCCATATATAATAAGATTTTTTTTGGAGAATATGGGAATTGTTTTGGTGACAGAATGGGACTTGTTTACCAGCCAAGCGAAGCAATAAGTAAACCATGGAATGAAGTTCCATGGCTTGTTTAGGTATATCAGGTGCTTGTCTAGGAGCAAGTTTGTTTTCTGCTTCCCTGGAGACTAGGACATGGAACAATGGCTTCAAACTACAAGAAAGGAGATTCCATCTGAACATGAGGAAGAACTTCCTGACTATGAGAGCCGTTCAGCAGTGGAACTCACTGCCCCGGAGTGTGGTGGAGGCTCCTTCTTTGGAAGCTTTTAAACAGAAGCTGGATGGCCATCTGTCAGGGGTGCTTTGAATGCAATTTTCCTGCTTCTTGGCAGAATGGGGTTGGGCTGGATGGCCCATGAGGTCTCTTCCAACTCTTTGATTCTATGATTCTAGATGGGACACAAGTTGGAGCACAGGATTCATTTATGTTTGTGTACTGGATCTGGCGCAGTCTGGGTCATGGAACTGAAACAGCCTTGGTCGCCTTAGTGCGGTGGTTTTCAGTGTGTAGGTCCCCAGGTGTTTTGGCCTACAACTCCTAGGCATCTGGAAGCCAAAACATCTGGGGACCCACAGATTTAGAATCACTGCACTTTACAGAGCTTCTGTTTCAAAGCTCCCTGCTTTGGTGATGGCATGATCGTCAGCATAGATCAGGGGTTCTCAACGTGTGAGTCCCTAGGTGTTTTGGCCTACAACTCCCAGCCAGTTTACCAGCTGTTAGGATTTCTGGAAGTTGAAGGCCGAAACATCTGGGGACCCACAGATTGAGAATCACTGCACTTTACAGAGCTTCTGTTTCAAAGCTCCCTGCTTAAGTGGTAATGGCACGATCATCAGCATAGATCAGGGGTTCTCAACATCTGTTTCCCCAGGTGTTTTGGTCTACAACTCCCAGAAACCCCAGGGTTTCTGGTATTCTAACAGCTGGTATCCCAGTTTACCAGCTGTTAGGATTTCTGGAAGTTGAAGGCCAAAACATCTGGGTACCCACAGGTTGGAAATAATCAACATTTTCTAATGTTACACCATTAAGCTGTATTTCTGGTATTGCAGTTGGATTGGCTGGTGCCTTTTGCTGGAAGAGCACTTCGGTTTTCTCAATGTTCAATGACAGGCTGAGCTTCTCATATGCTTCTGCGAAGGTGTTTAGAGTAGCTTGTAGGTCTTCTGACTGCGCACAGACTACGTTATCATCAGCATATTGGAGTTCTATAACATGTTGTAGGTCTTCTGAATGAGCACAGATGACGTTGTCATCAGCATATTGGAGTTCTATAACATACTTTGGTGCAGCTGGCTGGGAGTCAGCTGTATTAAGATCACTACTGTCTGAAAGGTCATGATTTCGAAGCCAGCCCGGGTTGGAGGGAGCTTCCGACTAATTTTGTGTAGCTTGCTGTCGACCTTTGCAGCCCGAAAGACAGTTGCATCTGTCACGTAGTAAATTTAGGTACTGCTTATGCGGGGAGGCAAATTAAACTAATTTACGAGGCCATCAAAATCTCCAGCAAGCATGCAAAGAATGAGGAAGTACTTCATCAGTGTCACAAATGGTCAGTGAAGGGACAGCTCCCCAGGTGGCCAGAATACCCTCAAGAAAAGCTGGAATGTCAAATAGCCTCTGTGTCTGTCTATATATGTTGTGTGTCTATGACAGGGGTCCTCAAACTTTTTAAACAGAGGGTCAGGTCACATTCCCTCAAACCGTATAATTTGAGAAAAACATGAATGAATTCCTATGCTTGCTGCACATATCTTATTTGTAGTGCAAAAAAAAACATTTAAAAACAACAAAATAATTAAAAAGAACATTTTAAACACATATACATTTATTAGTATTTTGATGGGAAGTGTGGGCCTGCTCTTGGCTGATAACACAAGATTGTTTGTTGTTGTTGTTGTGTGCTTTCAAGTCGTTTCAGACTTAGGTTGACCCTGAGCGAGGGCCGGGTAAATGACCTTGGAGGGCCATATTCGGCCCTCGGGCGTTCGTTTGAGGACCCCTGGTCTATGGCATTGAATGTTTGCCATGGATATGTACATTGTAATCCGCCCTGAGTCCCCTTCAGGGTGAGAAGGGCGGAATATAAATACTGCAAATAAATTCTTCTGATTGTGCATAGACTACATTATCATCAGCATATTGTAGTGCTATAATAGACATTGTAGGTGTTCTAAATGTGCACAGATGATATTGTCATCAGCATATTGAAGTTCTAAGTCCATCCTCCAGGAAATAAAGCCCGACTGCTCACTGGAGGGAAAGATACTAGAGACAAAGTTGAAGTACTTTGGCCACATCATGAGGAGACAGCAAAGCCTAGAGAAGACAATTATGCTGGGGAAAGTGGAAGGCAAAAGGAAGAGGGGCCGACCAAGGGCAAGATGGATGGATGGCATCCTTGAAGTGACTGGACTGACCTTGAGGGAGCTGGGGGTGGTAACGGCCGACAGGGAGCTCTGGCGTGGGGTGGTCCATGAGGTCACAAAGAGTCGGAGACGACTGAACGAATGAACAACAAAAACAAACAGACTTAGGTCTTCTGAATGCGCACAGACTACATTATCATCAGCATTTTGGAGTTCTATAACAGACATAGGTCTTCTGAATGTGCACAGGTGACGTTGTCATCAGCATATTGGAGTTCTATAACGTGTTCTTGTAATTTTGGTTTTGGCTTTCAGTCTGCTGAGGTTAAATAGCTTGCCATCTGTCCGATAGATGATTTCCACTCCAGTGGGAAGCTTCCCACCAACAAAATGAAGTATCATTGCAATGAAGATGGACATATGTCTGATAAGATATATGAGCACTTATATGCTAAACTGGGGAAGAGGAGATAGGGGTCCAATGAGTTATGGGTTTGCTCACTCCAATGCCATCAGGATCTCTGCTAAGCTCTGTTGCTTGAGTGCCATCTTCTTGACTGTCCAAACATAGCAGAGAGGCTTCTAGGTTGGATGTTTTTGCTCCTCTTGGTTTCTCCTTTCTGTTATCCTGGCTGTTCCTCAGGTCCTGCAACGAATCCTTCTCTGCAGCCTTCCTCCAAACTGAACTTTTGACTCCGTCTTTAACTCTGGATCATCTTTCTGGTTTGCCTGCCCAGCCCGCCCTCCGTGCTCGCTTGCTTGCTCGCTTCCTGGCAGTGACCCTCTGCTTGGCCGCCTTGACTTGGGCCGGACGCTTTCCTTGCTGAGATCTGCCTTTCCCGCGGGAGTCCCATCCTGCCAATGTTTACTTGCCCCCGGGGACTGGGATCGTTGCTGTAAAACTGGGCTGGACATCCTCTTTGAGGCAGGTCAGGCCCTCGAAACGGGAACCGCAAAGAGTCGTATTTCTGAAACATGGCTTTGCTTCTCAGAATCTCTTTTCGGAGGTTGTTTCTGATGGATGTGTGCCTGGGGTGTAAGGCACACACTTGGTGGAGTGGCTTCCAGAGTCTCGTTAAATGTGTGTTTTGA